CAAACTACTCTGGCTCATCTATATATATATATATATATATATATATATATATATATATATATATATATATATATGTGTGTGTGTGTGTGTGTGTGTGTGTGTGTGTGTGTGTATGTGTGTATGTTCAAGGTAGTTTAATATTTTGTTCTCCAAATGATTAAAGAACCGATTAATCTTGTAAAGTGTGTGTGGCCCCACATTTCTGCCCTGTAATTGACTGAAGGCACTAAAAATCTAAGAAAGACGGGAGCATTTAGTCGTTGATTAATATAACTGTTGGCGGTGTGCATATGTATATTTTTGTATATATGTTATCTTAAATGATTAAGTATTGTTAACATAAACATTTATTCCTCATTCTGTATTCCAAGTTACAATTTTCTAATGTGAAATAAATAAAGAAGGTCGTTGTTCACCCTACAAAAAAAACAGTATAACTTCTCGCTAACTGGATTAAGGAACAGAAAATTGAACTGGATTTCTTGCTGGAAAACGGTAATCCAGTTTGCAGACTACTGGTATTTTCGGTAGGGTAAGGCATCCTTGCATACAAGGCTTGAGACGTTGCGCCCACATCTATACTTTGCTGAACCTTGCATTGGACCACGTCGTCCGCAGCAAGTGGATCCAGTGAATCCAGCACTGCGAGGAAGCGCGGCAGTCACATCACATTGGATTTGCTTCGATGGCTAGGAGCGCCCGCTAGGGTCACACGACAAGTAAAACGTTCGGAGTTCAGAATCAGTATAGGAATCAAATGAAAATAGTTTATAAATATCCTAAAGATCGCAGCCTTTTTTTTAATTGAATGAACTCGATTACCCTCTAACCACTGCTTTCACAACTTCTATTTTGATATTACCCAAAAATGGATCAATACAAATTTTATTTATTTACTTATCCCTCTAGGTAATTAACCAAAGTTACTGTTACAGTTTTCAGCCTGTAAAATGTCCGCCTTGCCCGATTATCCCTCGGCGAAAACAGTATTGACGTAAAGCGCACGCCCTTTTTCAAAACAAAACGAAATTACGTCTGTATTGATAGTAATGAGGTTGTAAATTACGTTACAGTTATAAAAACATTGTTCCGCGCCGTTCAATTTAAGCGTCACCTGACAATTGCAGGTGAACACCACGGAAAAGCTACACACGTCCTGTTTAGTAACATCCTTATTTTTATTAAAATTTCAATGACAATATTACATCGAGTTCATAGATCAATCATTCTAGGCGTAGAAAGGGTTATCATCGGAGTTCGACAACTCAAACAAAACGGGACTGAGCGGAGGCATACATACGATGTTGAAGGGCGTTATTTCAGTACCTTCTTTCCTTTCAGTGCAATTTCTGTTCTTGAGTTTTATCTATAAAATAATAAACCAACTGTTCCAACCAAAAGTATCGGCACAGCGGAGTTTAATTTATTCAGTGTCCCGCGTTCTAAACACGATCTCTCAAACATTTTGGAACCAAATGAAATTTCTGAACAAGGCCAGCCAAGGAGGCGTCTGATTACTCCCGCTTCGAGGATCTCCCGACTGGGGCAGTCGGTTTGGAGTCTTCGCGTTGCCTGAAGGACGTGTACGGAAATAAAGACGGCTCTTCGATTGGCTCTAATCAGCCCCTTTGATGCAGAGCCACCTCTCCGCGTTTGTAAGAAATGCGAGCGAACCTTCGCCACACTTGCTGCGTTACGAGGTGGCGCCGTTGAGAAATTTCTCTCTTCCACCGTGCTCTTGGTATAAGTAGTATGTTAATTACACTAGACACGACAGTAAAGTTCCTGATAAGCGAGGCTGAGAAAGGAACCTGGCAAAACGTTGTTCTGTATAAAATACATATGCCTCCATAATAAACCCGAGACTACGGAGAAAAAACGGACCAACACAAAAAAACGTCTTAATTACACTTATTGCGTGTACTGCGTCACTGAGTGAGAGCCTTACATCACCAGTATGAAAGCGCATATCACCCACCATTGCCTTTGTTTCGACAGAGTGTATATCAGAAATTTCCCCTCGCCAACCTTCGAGCATAAATATTCATCTGAGAAATTGGCTTGCAGCCTGCACTAAAGTAGGCAAGAAATCTTCCCAGCAATATTTAGGATTGTATCGCTCTCGGGAATACTTGAGGCTACATATTAAATTTCCAGTGTGTCAACACCCCTGAAGACACGCGAAGGTCGTCATTAGAGCTGATGGTGCGCATTCAAGGCGCCAGAGCTTGTCTGGCACTTTGAGATCGGGATCTTGGTATGCGAACGCAAAATAAGACAGGTTACACACACACACACACAAAAAAAACGCCAGACGCGTGTTTCTGTCTGTCCTTTGTCTTGTGTTGCGTTCCCATAACAAGATGTTTAATCCACAAACGTTCCTAATTCCATCTATTCATATTTGGGAATCGCATCTCAGCGTCGTGCTTGCTTAAAAGTGAAACACTTCAAGCATTATAATTTATGAACAGGTTCACAATAGAGTAAAAACCTTAAAAAGGGCATCACTTTTTCTCTAAGAGATGATCCAGGATCGATTACAGGAGATCCATCAGACAATACAAATTTAAACACAGTGTTGGCGAAACTCAGTCGTTCCTGTTGCTAATACAAAACTAATTCGGGTGAAAACAATACAGTTACGTTCTTTTTTTTTTTTAATTGATAATCGTGTGACGGCATTTAACTACAATTTTCTTCGCCCGTTTTTGCTCGTGTTCTTGGTTATTTTTCGCATTTCTAAGATTGTACGCCACTGCTCCTAAGTCCTTCAGGGGAGAGCCGCAGTAGAGGTAAATAATAATAATAATAATATATTAATAATAATAATAGTAATTAAATATTATTATTCTCCTCCACTCTAAAAAAAAGCGCGTGAGTCTACTTTCTCGCAAAACACTCGAAGAGCCAATCACCGAAACTTACAGAGTCAGCTTAGCAAATGACGATGCTGAAACATCTGTTTAGACCAAAAAACGCAGTCCGAGTCTGAGTTGCTTGAACTAATGCAAAGCGTCACGCTTGCATTGCTCAAGGGGACAATGAAGGCCATTTCGGACTTCTTTTTGGTGATTGAACTGGGCTCCAGGCACGTCTCAGGTCACGTTGCCTAAATTTCAGCCGAAACCGGCGCTCTTATGCCGCGCAAACCAATTAAACAGTCGCGGTAATAATCTTTAGGGATCGACTGGGGCAACGCTCCCAGAGTTGCGGGAGAAGCAGGAGAAGCGGAGCTCACGTGACCGATGTGGGGCCAAGAAGCGCGACGTCACAAGAGACGCGTCAGCGATCGGTCGAAACGAGAGACGTGCCCTCGGTCACGTTTTCGTTCTCGATTTTTAGTAATACTGTTTTAATTTCCGCTTGAATAACCGTGAAAAGTATAAATCGGGCCGGAAATGATTACTAAACCGTAAATAAAGCAGCATAATTGTTTTTTTTCTTTGCTACGCTGGACGCGAAACGGCCAACGAGCAACTATGGGCAAACAAAATAAAATAAAAAAAAAGAACGCGGTGCTCAAAGGATTCTGCAAAAATGTAGTCCGAATTTGTGCGCTGTAGATGGCTGTTGTAACGGTCGACTGGAGACCAGTATTCGTTCGGGCGACGCTAGTTTTCACGTGTCTCCGACTTTGGTGAAAACCAAAAATGGTGCTGCTTATTTCCTCTTTCTTGGCGAGCGTCCCCCGTGGAGGAACAGGTTCCCAGAACGGCCAGTTCGCTGCCTATTTCCCCTCGGCATCTCCCCCGCGTCCCTGTCCTTCGGCATGCGGGCCGCTCGCTACCAGCTGGGCGGTCTCCGTCGGGTGATGGCGGAGGCCGCCACACGCGTACTCCCGTTCCGTTGGTGTTGGGTCACTGAACGGAAGCTCGAACTCGCTCACGAGAGCGGCATTGCCTTCCATGTTGACAGACTCGACGAAACGACAGCGCCACCGCGCTGCTATAACCCACCGAGGTAACCAGAGTCTCGATCTCCTAAATACTACAGATACCGACTATTCACACTTGACGTCACTCCCTACTTCACCTCCGTTTTCGGAGGCCCAGAAACGTGAATGGAGATTGTTCAGTTTCGGTTTCTTTACTTCTTTCGTAGGCACGCAAATACGCGTCACAACCCTATTGAACATATTTCTAAAGGGCCCGTGAGCCTTGAAGAATTATGGGACCTCACAGACCTTCAAAACCCTTCAAAAATACCCTACCGAAAAACCCTTCAAGGATACCCCATAGAAAAACCCTTTAGCCCCACAGCCCTTCAAGCCGTCAGACCCTTTAGCCCATCAACCCTTTAGACGGCCAAATCACTGTGAACCATAGACAAAAATGCAGTTCAAAACATTATTGAAAATTTATTGCCGACATTTAGTTTTACATGCATATTATAACTCCAAAAGGTGATAAAAAGCAACGCTTGTTCAAACCCGGCGCAAGTAGCTGTAGACGAAAAAGATCACATCAAACAGGGACAACTGACTTCTTTATCACTAAGAAAGATACCTTTCAAATTACTCAATAGTTCGAAAGTTCTTTATTGCACTCGAGGGAGTTCGCACCAGGCGTGCAGGCGACTAGGAAAGGCAGAGAGCCCATGCACAGTGTGTGCCCCTGCCACCCACCTGGAGGCAAATGGTAGATACAGTATATACAAAATATATACATACACATATATACACATACATACACACACATATACATGTATATATATTAAAAAAGGGGAAGGGAGGGTTGCACAGATTTAGAGGGTAAAATCCGCCAGACAAGAACGCCCAGCACCGACAGCTCCCCGCCAACGAATCTCGGCCAGAACAAGCGCAGACCGGACACGAGTGCCGCATCATCACGCCGGGTGGACACGAGTCCCAGCCTAACACCGACACAACACCCACATCCGGTCAGCAGCCCACGCCGGCCGACCGACACCCAACGCCGAAAAAAAACAAAAAACAATTACTATTAGCACTAAGGCGCTCCCAGCCAACGGGAGATAGGTCACAGGTGCCAGCCATCTTCCCGGGATATCAATTGACAAAGTTCCTTTATAGAGTCCCTGTCCTTAGGAATCACTGGGGTCAGCTCCGGGGGTAGGGCCAACCAGAGTTCAGCGGCTCGTAGGAGACACGTTCTCCTGTGGCGGAGAGTGCGCGCCAGCACCGGCTGTAGACGACCGCTACGCCTGTTGAGACGTGGTATGTTGGGGCAGTCCATGTCGTCCGCACTCATAACACGACAAAACAGCCGGATGGAGGCAACGTCTCTTCGATGTTGTAGCGACCGCCAGTTAGCGTTGCGGAGGACAGAGTCGGTGCTAACATCACGGTAACTGAGGAGGCTACTTCTGGGGGCACTGCGGCGGTGGAACGTAAAAGCAGCCCTTCTTTGAATGCTTGCTAGGGCATTTTGACGTGACTGCTGCAGTGGGCCCCAGATGGCACAGCAAAACTCCAGCTGGGGCAAGACGAGGGCAGTGTAGAGGTTTCTGAATGCCTCTGGTGGAAGGTCGCGAGAGAGATGGGTAACGAAGCCCAGTGACCGCCTGGCTTTGGGCGCTACATCGCAGATGTGGCAGTGGAAATCCAATTTGTCGTCAAGGGTGACGCCGAGCAATTTGGTGTGGGACACACGAAATATGGGGGAGCCGCCTAACGTGAGGACTGGTGGTGCACATTGTGACCTCACTGAGTGGGAGATGGTCATGCACACACTTTTGGCACAGTTGAGAGGTAGGCCGTTAACTTGCGACCAGCGGTGGCAGAGATCTAAGGTGAACTGGAGCCCACTGTAGGCATCGGTGGTTCTCAGGGGTTGAATAAGTGTGAGGTCGTCTCCATATAGGATTGATTTTGTGCTGAAGCTGGTGGTCAAATCGTTGATGTAAATTGTGAAGAGGGTTGGCCCCAGCACGCTGCCCTGGGGGACGCCGGAGAGCACGGTGCAGGGGGAGGATGTTGATCCATGGAAGGTCACTCGCTGAGTTCTGGCCGAGACAAGGTCGTGTAGCCAGTGCAGGAGGGTACCTTGGATTCCAACGTTGCGGAGTTTGTAGCATAGGAGCGTGTGGCTGATCCGATCGAGGGCCTTAGAGAAGTCTAGCTGAATTAGTTTACAAGGAACACGGTTATCGATGGATGAGCTGATGGTGTGAACAGCCACAGCGAGGGCGGTTTCAAAGCTTCGTTCCTGCCTGAAACCGTGTTGAGCACTACTGAGTAAGCAGTTTGCTTCTAGGTATTGCAGGATCTTTTTGTTCAGAATTCTCTCCAGGGTCCTGCAGACAGCTGATGTGGAGGCGATAGGGGTATATTCCTGATGTACGGTGGTTCAGCTAGTAAAACCGAGCAGGTGCACCTCACGGACTCATACACAGTCTCAGTAAGCACGTTTAGCGAAAACCACGAACTCGTAAGCAGCACCTGCCGCCGTTAAGAAATCCCGAGCACAGTCACGGTTTCGTCCATGATGACATCGGGCCGGCGTCTTCGGTGTATTTTTCGCTCGCTGGTCTGAAGTCGGACGGACGAAGAGGCGCAAGGAACAAGTCCGGACAGCGGCCGTCATCCACCGTCTCAACACCCAAAGTGCCATAATCCCGGTGCGCAGGCACAACATGCGCTGGGACGGTGACCCCGACTGCCAGGCTTTGCAGCGAGTAAGCCGACACCGGCCACCATTTCCTTGAATGCGCTGAACACAGTGGCGCTCGAGCGGTGCTGAAGGCGGCCTGCGCCGAACTATGGCTCACCTGCGGTATCAAGAAAGGAACTGCACGGATCTAGACAGGCCAAGGGGCGAGCTCTCAAAACCATGCATGCTCAGCTTCCTGGAGGAAATTGGTCCGCTCCAAACATCCCGGCTCGTGGGATAACCGGAACCGCACACGAGCAGAGAGAAAATAGCTATACTGGCGGCAGGCCTCCCCCGCTTGCACACACCACCCTCCCCCTCCCCCCCCCCCCCACCCCAACCGCTGGCCCGGCAGCCCTGCACCCTCTCCCCATCGCCGGGCGGCGAGAGGCGCAGTGTGGATTGCTTTTTGGGGACAGTCCCCCTGGACGGTCCGGTTCCCAGAACGGATTGCTCCCGCGTGCGTCCCTGTTCCTGGAAAGCGCGCACTGCTCTCGGCTTGCTTTTTTTTTTTTTTTTTTTTTTTTTTTTTTTATACGCAGTTGCACGGATTTTGCTTCGAGCGGACAGGATTGCGTTCGCCTCAAAACGCCGCTCGGCCAACACCACTCGGCCCGCGACTCGTTAATTCTCCACATGGGGCGGTCACCCTACGTGGCCTTTTTGGCTACCGAACACCCGGGCAATGACAGACGGGTCCAGGAGCCCACTCGCATTTGATAGACGAGCAGTAATAAAAATCTGACCGTACACGCACACGATCGGCATTCTCCAAACACTTATTTTTCCCCCGTAGCGTACAATAAGCAGCTGTGTTCATTAATTCTGCGAAATGTGTTTTCTCCACCTGGGCCGTTGCCCACAGACATCTCAAGAAGCCTGAAGGTTTTCCCGACCACATTAGAAAAGTACTTGACAGGCTTTCAGACATTTCAAGGCATTGTAAAGGGCACTTCAGACATTTCAGGGGAGCCTCTGACGGGGCCAGCGAACCCACCAGGAAATAGAAACATCGAAAAAATTTTTGAAGTCCCCTTCACACCCTTTAAAAAAGTCATGAAGTCCCATCAGAGCGATTTTCAATAGAGAAATGTCTACCGAAAATTTGGCAGCATGCTATGTTCCCAAAAAGCATAAAAACACCATTTAAAAAAAATTAAATAAAATCGTCTTCATTGCGCGTTTTTCGGTGTAAACATAAGCTTCGGCATCGCCATTCGCTGAGCTGACTCCGTAAGTTGTGGTGATTGGTTCTCCAAGGGGGTGTTGTGCGAAAAAGTAAACGCATGTTTTTTTGTTTTTTTTTTGGGGGGGGGGGGTGGTATTATGTTTGCTTTTGATATTTTTCGTGCCCGTCAAAGCCACAGTAGGCTTGTGGGACACGAACTGGGGGAGGCCGTAAGTCACTATATACATGCTTACTTAACAAACTAACAGATAGATATAATTATAGTTGTCTGGGGGGGGGGGGGCGGCCAGTCAGTCACTTTGTACATGCCGCTTATATAGATAGTCAATCACACTGGACCGGTAGAAACATTATAGAGAGATATACAGGTAAGATGATAATAATAATAGTATTAGTAATAGTAATAATTACGAAGAAGTGGGAGAAGACCAAAACGTACTCAGCAGTGATCCCATAGAAAACGTTTCTAATGATCATTCTGCTTACATGGGTCGCGCTTTCAAGCGAAACCTTCAATTAGTGCTCGTATTTCGTCTGGATTTTCTCTATCCGGAGGACATGTTCGTCTGCTTTTTACACAGGGGTTGCGAGGACGTCAGAACGCCGAGGTCCCATCGGTTGATTAAAGAAAATAGTTGGTAGACCTCAAAGCATTTAGCATTGGTGTCTGCTAACTATCCTTTCGATCAAAGCCAGAGTTTGGTGTCGTTTTGGCGTCACCATAACTCCTCCGCTAAAAGCAGATGACTTGCTGTCTGCATAGATTTCTGCGCTTGGCTGTGGGTGTGCCCTGAAGAGTAGTACGCAGGGAGGCGTAATTTGTCGTGTAGGAAGGTGAAGGTCATTCACACGAAGTGTTTAAGCGTGCACTGAACCTGCAAGACATTGAAACTGCGGCACCTACTTAGAAAAGCAGCGACTGTCAATTAGCTCAGTCAAGGTTAACCTTCGCCACGTGCTGAACTTTTTTTTTATCTGTAAACACCAACTATTGGGAGGCTGCCACATACCCAATAATAGCGCTGATCACGTCGACTCATGAGCTGTGTCTGCCTCGCTTCGGAGCAGTTTTTGAGCGCGCCAACGACGCGTATGTCTGGAACAACATGGAAGGAAATGTGTTGCAACGAACCGCGGCCGCCGAATTGTAGCGCTCGCGCAAGCAGGTGGCTCAGCGGCCATGAACTACGAGAGCATCATCGCGCGTACACAGCTGCCTTACGCCCTTGGTGAGGCCGTCTAAGTACTAGAGGCGTGCCAAAATAACTCCGCAAATTAACTTGTTTGCTCTTGCTCACGCAATGAAAAATTAGTTTCAAACTACGTCCTCGACCCTGCATGTCTCGACGTTGACCAGCACACTTGAGATACATTGCAACAAAAGCGTTCGCCAGAGGCTGTGGTTATGTTTACCAGTCAGTAGCCCATGTTCCAAACGCTTCGGTTCAGCAGGCTAAACATTTAACAATCACTGTGGAAATACTTTGCGTGCTTGTTCCGCATCTTACGTTTTGCTCAGAGAACACGATGTTAGTGCTTTTGTCACCAAAAAAGACAACCAATTCACAGGAAAACTCTTTTTGCGACCAAATAGGGCCCGCCGGCCGCAAAATAATTTTGATTTCTGAGAACAGTAAGTGATTAGGCCTATGTTTTTTTGCCGAGACGTACTTCTGAGATTCCGAAACACGTTTCCGATTCGGTGCCGACGTTTCCAATTAGAAGCGTGTTATGGAATCGCTTATAACCCAAAATGAGTCTCCGACGTAGGAATGGGGCAATGCGTTTCTATATGGGGATGCTTATTTTGTAGCATACGTGACTCATTTACAAACCTCGAATACCGTTATATTGAGGGTGGATTTAGTGCCCCTACATTCTGACGGGGCTGAATTTAGATCTAACACAGTCCACACGCTACAACGTTCAGCATGACGTAAGCAATTGAAATGACAAGGTCAGATTCCTGGTTGAGATAGTTGTTTTTTTATCGATACTTAGTTCGAGCCTCGTAATTTGCCAAGCTGCCTCTGTCGATTGCAGCAATTTGCTCTCCCAAGTGTTGTAAAAAAAAAAAAAAAGATGTATCGGATTTTTATTTTCAGAATGCGAGAAAGATGTTGGGACATGCTTCTCGAAATGAATTCTATCAAACATGCTTCTGAATCGCTCTTAACTCACCGTATCTCTCGATGTAGACGGTGCGATATCTTTTTTTTTTCTGGAATTCGTGGAAGTATACATCTTATTCAGGCACTTCGAAACGTTTTTATGGATGTTAAGCGTTCCCCTAGGGTAGGGGACTGCTACTCAAGGTGCTGATGTTCTTTTCCTACATGCAGCATTGTTCTCGCAGTATACACTTGATATTCGTTTACACTATTCCCAGAGGTCATAAGGTGATGACGTATTGAGACACCCTTTGTCTCTGAAAAATATGCTAATATTAGTGCAGGGTCTAGATAGCCAGCTTCTCAGCAGTCCAAGTGATTTTGCTTCTAATTCCTGCACACCGAAAACTATTTTTTGAGCTGCCATCATCCCTGCCTTTTGAATGAACTCTACAAGATGTGAGATAATAAAAATATAATGACGGTCTGTTTGTCAGTGACACAAACAGTGAAATATAATCTAATATGATGCAGAATGTGAAAATGAATTGCTATAACTTGTCTATTCGAAGATAATCCATCATTATTGATTTTCAAATATTCAGGGTAGCCACAAGATACCAACACTTTAACTGCAGATTACGGGCGAGGCCCAATTTACATATTATAATTACTGACATCTAACGGAGCGGAGGGCATGGGAAATCACGGCCATTATTATATTGCTGCCTAACCAATAAGATCGGGGCGCTTGCCGACAAGAACGCCGATGA